ATGGACCCATAGTGTTGCATCCATGTCTTTATCCATTAAAGGATTGTGTTGCTGAACTGCTATCGGATTCACCTCCTCGATTTCCCAATCTTGGATAGAGCTAAAGTGCTTTAGTTGTTCCAAAACACTTCCAACTTGATCTTCCCCCATATTTGTGTTTATGCTCTGCTCCCCTGCCTTCTGTTCCAGTCTTGCTATCTTTGCTCCACCTTCTGGCTGACTGCATCTGTTGAATGTTGCCTTTGTCATACTTTCAAGGTTTTCATTGGGGATTGGATCCCCTGGAGTGGACTCTTTTGCCCCCAGGTAAGAATGTCCTCCCATTTCCTCAATACAAGGCTTCAGCCTAATATCATCAGCAAACTCACACGAGAGATCATTAAAAATGACTTGTGCAGCCAAGTCGGAGTCATAGGATTTCAGCTCGTTGTTTGTCACTTTACTGTTCTGATTCATCGAACTCGAACCTTGTGTAAGTTGCACACTTGCCTTTCCTTTATAAGTGTTTTGCAATATGGTGCACCCCACTTGATTGTTCAAATATCTCTCTATTTCAAAACATTGTTCGTTTTTTTGCATCTTCAGCTCATATCTTGTCTGTCTTTCAGGTCAGATTGGGATGAAAAATTTGATACCGTCTCTTACAATCCCAACCTCATTGGGAGTTTTTCTGCCATCACCAACAATTTTAATTCTTGCCAACTTAAGATGATTTTTGAGATCAGTTTCTTCTTCAGTAGCTATCCATCCCCCACAGAGATCTCCTATTTCTTTGAAGATCTTTTGTGACCATAGATGTAAATGAATCCCCATGGCTCTAATCCAGCATGTTTCCTCGATTTGTGAGTTTGGAATGCTTCCAGCAGTATGACTCCACCATTCCAGATGAAGCTTGAACTTTTTCCAACTCCATTCTCCTTGCATAATCTGCTCCGCCATGAATCTGTTTGGAAATTCAAAAAGAAACATGTTGCCTGTCATTTCATACATGTTTACTCCATATGCTTTGTTCCATGACGCACTAGCCCATCGCCTTATGTCTGCTAAAGTGGGTCTCTCATTGATTTCTTTCCCAAAAAACCCGACAATGCATCTTTTTAGTAAACCAGAATCCTCGCTACCTGTCGGTTCCACAACAGAGATATCTCCATTGTTTATGCTGACCTTTGCCTCTCGAAGGGTATTGGATTGCCATTTACTCTCCTTGATTGCTTTGACATAAGGGTAGTTGTCCACAGTGATTCTAGGTGGGGCTGTGGGATTCATTTTGGGGGTCTGATGTATGAATCTTTCTATCTTAGCTGCTATGTCTTTCCAACCTGCATTCAAAGCTAACTCTGGAATTATAATAACAGACCTCCCTTCTCCCTTCAGTGACAGAATGCTCATGTATCTTCCGTGAACGTTGAATTTCCTGGTACAGAAATGTTCTGTCATATGTTCCTTTCACTTCCATCGCTTCACTAAATTCATTTGATCTTTCGACGCTTCTTTAAGTACAACACAAATCCATTCCATTACCTTTCTGCCCATGGATGAACGTCTCATCATGCTGCGGCTTCTCTCCACCCATTCGAACCATACCTCTTTGTTGGAATTCCATCTGGTGATGTCAAAAGATTTGAATCCTGCGTTGAAATAAATGCGGTTGTCTCTCATATTGTACAACCCAGCTGTTCAGGTTATGGAAATTATAAGGAGTATTTGATGGTCTGAGCTGTTGAGGTAAAAGAAACTGAAATTTGGGCCAAAACAGAGATTTCCCGCTCCCGGAAAAATAAAAGTCGTCGGAAATCTGAAAAAATTGTACCAATCTGGTCGGAATTAGCAGTAAAGGAAGCTGTCCAAAATTTTTTTTTTTGAAAGCTGCCGGAATTTGGCTCACGCGCCCGGCGCGTGGGGGAAAGGTCGCCGGAAAGAGCCGCGCGTGGAGGCTGCTTCGTCGGAAGAGATTCAGTGGAGTGGTCGGAATCTCGGGGGCTGTCTAATGGTGTTCATGGAAAGCTAAAAATTCTTTTTAAGTTTTTTTTACTTGCAAACTTAAATCAAAATTGTATTATCTTATGCTATTTAAAGAAATGACTTATCTTTATGGAAAATACTCTTATTTAATCAATTTGTAACCTAGTAAATTAGAATACGAATTTATTTTGAATTTGAATTAACTTAAAATATCAAATGTTGCAATAATCAGCTCGTTTTTAGTGTTGAACAGCTTCAAGGCCATTTTGTTTGTTTTAACAGAAAAAATGTTTATCAGACTTTTTAATCAAACATATCAACTGCTTATTTTCAGCACTTCTATCCAAACACGTACTGTTTATTCATAAAAATCAGCCCCAGTGCTTAAAACGTGATGTTCAGCATGTGGTGTTTAAAACTATTTAAATCCAGCTGGACCTGAACGGCTGAACGAGCATGCACGTGGTGCTTAAAAACTGCTTAAATTCAGCTACCCCAAGGGGCTACGTTAAGATTGTGTGAAGGACATCAACTTGTACTTGGGCAATAAGAAAAGCCATCAAATGTGGATTTCTTGCCATTTACTAAAATTAACTCTATAGATGGGGAGACTTCCCTAGTCTCACCTCTGCAGGGATTCGAACCTATGTTCCTAAGATTGTTATTCATGTCTTCAACTGCTAAGCCACCCCTTTGGCGCACATCAATTCAGAAATACTTCGAAAGTGAGTAGTTTGTTTCTTTATCCGTTCTTTTCTGATAAGTTCATATCTGTATCATGTCATGCAGAGGGCAGCTGAAACTGAACTGCTGACCAGATATCCATATGGAGGTAAGCAAGCTGTGCTCAGTCGTATTTCTCCTAACAATTTTCTGGTGTGCCCACTATATCTGCTTAACTTGATGACTTGTCAATTGGAGTACTCAGAATCTCTGGTGTGCCCGCTATATACCAAACCTGTCCACTTGACATCCTTAAACTTTTCTGGACAAAAGATGCATGAGCTATTTAATACAGAATTAGAGCTTTTCTATTTTTGTTGTACTTTTGCATGTCTTTTAGTAGGCATATGAGCCCATCCCTTTAGAGGCAAATTGTTCAACATGTGTCATTTACTCTTGAAAGGATCAGATGAAGTCTTGGTAGGAGCATGCTGGATTGCTTTTATTTGCTATAGCTAATTGTGTGCTAAGGGTTGGTTCAGTAACCCAAATGGGGTTTAGAGGCGTTTGGACATGAATTGGTTGATATTTTAAAAAAGGTAGTATCTGAAGTTAAGTAGAAAAGGGTATTTGAAAGATGAAGTTGTTTTTGGACATGAAAACATATTATTTCATTTATACTACATCTCTTAGCATATTGGTGTCTGCATTGAATACAAAACCGAAATTCTTATGTGTTGTTTTCGGGAATGTCGTCTCGAAGTGGTGAATTAGAATTTAATCATCCCTCGGGGTAAGGTTCAAGTCAACTATTTCATTCCTTCCAATATAGGTCTAGGGTATGCATTTTTCCCATTTCTCTGTTTTCTTCTTCTTCCTCTCTCAGAGATTCATCTCTCCACCAGTGAATTACTTCCCATTCCAATATTTTCCCACATCCCTCATATCTGGTTTCTTTCCCTCTCCCTATCCGGATCTCTCTTCTCCCTCTTCTTGGTGTCTTTCTTCCCCTTCCTTAACTGGTATCTTCTTCCCCTTAACCGGAATCTTACCTTCCCCTTTGTCCTGGCCTTTCTTTTGTTGGGGAGGAGGGGAGGAGTGATCAAGATTTCTGGTACTGTTTCTTGTTCCTACCTGTTTACCAGTTTTTTTTCTCCGCAAAGTTTCCCTAAACTCGTTGATTGTTTTGCTACACACACACACACACACACACAGAGGCACACACACATATATTTATATATTGTGCTATTTTTTGCGCAGTTGATGGATAACAAAAGTTTATCTCAATGTGTTGCAATAATTATGTGTGGTGAGAAACTTAAGCTACATGTAAATTCAAGCCAAATGAAAATTTGGTACTGAAGTTTGGGGCATGGTCATAATGGAAAAGGAAATTGGAATACCCATACAAGTGCTTGACAAGGATAAAACTACCTGTGTTAGTTCCCTCAGTACAATCCATAATATCGGACAATCTTTTGAATGGATAACTATAGATTCTCCAGAAACACTTATCCTATTATGTACGGAACAGTAAATGGAATATCGATGTTGATCCTTTTCATCTTTATTCTATTCATACCAATATTGAAAATTCATTTATTTTAATAGTTCAAGAGCTCACTTTGTAACGGCTTCTGTCTTTTGCAGGAGTAATTCTGAGGCCTGGATTTATTTATGGTACGCGTCGTGTTGGGAGCATGAAGCTGCCTCTAGGTGTAATTGGTTCTCCTCTAGAGATGGTAGGTGTCATTTGATCCCTGGCATTCGAACTCTTTTATATATGCATATACTGCTGCAATTAAGGAGGAGACGACTTGCACTGCTTCCTTTAACGTTTTCACCCTTGCGTCACTTAGGCCATACATAGAAGTTTTTACTTTTTTCTATTAGGTATCCCCTCATATATAGATAACGAATAGGATGTGCGTCGCATTCCTCTCTTGCTAGCGGAAAAGGAGAAGAAAAACTGTGGGAGAGGTCTCCTTCAAAGATATATGCAATAGTTGGCTGTATATGCAAATCTAATTATGTTCTCCTGCATATGCTGCAACATCTATGTTATAAGTTTCACGTCCATTATTAATCATAATGTTTACTTCCCTCAGATCCTGCAACATGCAAAACTGCTGAGTCAAATTCCCCTTGTTGGCCCGCTGTTTATCCCTCCTGTAAATGTCACTGCGGTAGCAAAGGTTGCTGTCAGAGCTGCAACAGACCCTGTATTCCCTCCTGGTGTCATTGATGTTCATGGAATCTCACGCTACAGCCAGCAGAGATCCATGTAGGTGAATGACTGGCATGATAGCATGATGCAAGCACATGAATCCTTCTCTTATTTTTCCTTCCCCTTTGGTATTAATGAGTAGTAAATGGGGTAAGGTGACCGCATCTTTTGCAAGTATTACAGTTTCTACTTCAGAATCACATCTGGCATGGACCAAAATATTTCACAGCATTTTTATGGCTGCAAGGCGCATGATAAAACAATGAGTTTGAAAGTCAGAGTTTGCAGACATGTTAAGGTATCGAAAGTTTAGATTAAGTGGTTTAAAGTTTGGTCAAATATTCTTATGGGTAGAGTTAGTTCAGTTTTCTTTACAACTTTACACCATTTGGTCTAAATTTTCCTGTTGACGTGTGGGGAACTTTTGAATTAACTCCGGTTCAAATGCTAAGGTTGGTTATTTTAATATGTAGTTCAATTTCTTCAACAACTTAAGATCATTGTGTGGGACTTATTGGATGACTAGTTACAATTTGTTATCGGTAGTCCAACTTGTACTACAATTTTAGTTATAAAATTTGGTCGGAATTAGGAGTGCAGAACCCTCAGGAATGACAATAACGTATCCTTAAACAAAATTATCATACATTAGGTTGGTAGTAAAAATGACTTTGGAAGCTCTGTCTTATAGTTTCGTCATGGTCGGTAATGATTTTCATTTCCTTAAATCGAACAACTAGAAGCTTAGTCATATGTGACTTTGTTTGGTTTGGTTGATTGCTCCTTGATGGTAGAAATAAACACTTGCAGATAAGAGCAATTCTTGTTACATTGCGTAGTTAAGATTTGTGCGGAAAAGATGAGAAAAGGAGAATATTAAGAAGAAGAGCACCGATCGTTAGTCGTTTTGCTTATGAAGCAGGAGGTTACATTTGCTAAGATTGTTCGAACAAGGTACAATATATAAAGAGTAGCTTTAGAAAAAAACCTGCATCTAGCATGCCCCTATGGCTAGTTTTTATCTGAAAATGAACAAACAAAAGGTATATGCAAAATGAATGACTTATAGCATATAATTAACGAGATCACTTGGGATATTTCTGTAATTTATCAAACAAATCTTGAGGCGTTCAACTACCATGCATTAAATTACAGTAGTGTTTCGTTTACATCTGAATCCTCAAGATCCCAAGTTAAACGGCATTTTTAATATCTTTCTATAAAAATAAAGAAAAATACTTCATATTAATAAAGAGGAGAGGAGGTTTGAGCTCAAGTTAACTCTATAATTGTTGAAATAAATAGTGGACTGATGAGGGGTTTGGACTTTTTCTAATACTGAGCAACTTATTCTATGTACTGATATTTTATCAGTAATATGGTTAACGAGGTTAATCTATATCTATCTATACTATATTAAAAGCACGAATGCTCTTAGCGAAATGTCGTTTGTCTTTTTTGCCCTTTAAAAAAAGTTTTCATACTATACAAAATAGTTATTTTAATTATTTCCCTAATATTTAGGAATAGTCATTTAATTATTTTCCTAATATTTAGGACTGTAAAATCAACTAGATTTTGTATCCCAAAACCTTCCTTATTTAACATATGCGTAATATAACAGATCTTCAAAAGGAAAAATAATAACAAGCTAAAAGAAAAGAGAAGAAAGAGATGGATAAGTCTTCAATTGTTTTTTGTTTCGCATTTTGGCTTTCATTTGTTTAATTTCGAAACCAAAAATAAAATACAAATGAAATGTTCTAGATTTATTCAAAATAAAATAATCGTATTGCTATCATCCTTTCTTTTTCACTAAATTAATAATATTTTACAACTAAATTTTATCACAATTACAAAGATTAATATTATAAACCTAATAATTTGTAGGAACGATACAATTATATTGTATTAAAATGTTCACACTTTGAAATCACATATAATTTCAAAATTATTAGTAAATATTTTCTTATTTGAAATATGTTAGAAGTCCTCTAATATTATTAAAATTTTAAAATCAATTAGAATATTAACTTATATAAATTTTTTCTTGTTTGAACTACGTATAGAAAAATTATAATGCATATTACTTTTCTTACTATTTGTAACTTAATTAACTACTTTTATTTATTAAATACATGCTTATTAATAAATAATTTTAGAACGTATTCTTACATGGTATGTCAATCTTTAATGACTCGACATAAATAAATAAAAATCTTATTGTATATCATTAATTGACTTTGCCCATATTAATATATTATAAATTTTGTGAATTTTTTTTAATATCAATTATTTATAATAAGCACTGTCTTTAATAAATGCAAAAGGAATTTTTTTAAATTTGATAGGAGTAATATTTATTTATTGCTTATTGATTCTTCTTTTATGTTTTTATAGATAAAAAGCTACTTCTTTTGTTCATTTTAAGCCACGTTATATTGATTGAGGATTATGTTTATTTTTTGCTAATATTTAATACTTCTACTAAATACTTTTAATTATAGAAATTTTATTTTCCCAATACCTATAATTTATAATATAAAAATTAACAAACTGACATATTAAGATGAAAATTAAACAATTTGACTTTCGTATTGAGAAGTCGATGGAAAAGTACAATAGATAAATTTCTACTTTGATCTATTTAACCAATATAAATTCCTTAATTTGCAAAGTTTTTTTTCTATTTTGAATTATATCTATCTGAACTATTGTTCTAGAATGTTAACTCAATATTATTCATTTTAGAGACTTTGTATTCATCATTTTCATGATCTCATTTGCAAGATCTCCTTATTCGGAAGAGGGCTTGTGAAGCTGCTCTTTCTTCAGGTGGAGGTGCCTCCTCTCGGAGTCCCCAATCCAAGGATAAGAAACCAAAAAGAAAATGTACCTCTACGGCTGAGACTCAGGAGAAAACTTCAACAAAAGAAGCTCCAATTGGATCAACCAAAGTGGTCATTGATGAAGAAGAAACTGATGATGAAGCGATTCCTCTTCAAAGAAGAAAAAGGCATTCATCAGCTCAACCAGATGCTCAGTCGGAAGAACTTCAAACACCCCAACCGGGAGAGCTTCAAGGACTTTTTACGAAAATAAAATTAGTTGAAAATGCCGAGTCTCGTTTCCAGGCTCCTATCAGTGTTTCCCTTTATAGGAGTTCTTCCCCTGAAATTCCTCCTTCATCAACTCCTACTCCAATCGCAACACCTTCTACACCAAATGCTACCTCTCCTCCAGCCTCAACCGAATAGACAGAAGATGTTCCTTCCCCACGGTCATCCGACCATAGAAATTTAGGAAAAACTTACCCAACATCCATTCAAAACCCTAGTGGAAAACAAAGTGTCATTCTCACGATTTTGAATGAGTGCCACCTACTGCCCAAACCATCGGAGGTTGAAAATTACTTGAAACCCCTGGCCACAGACAAAGATTGGAGAAAAATGGATTCTCTTTCTGCTGAGTGTCTGATCAACAACATCATGCATTGTTCAGCTCAGGTATCAATTTAAACTTCTTCTCTTCCCTTTTATCTTGCAAAATTTTATTCTCTTTATTTTAATTTTTACCCCCTTCTAAGATAATCTTATTGCCTCCGAGGGCCTACAAAAGCTAATCTTGAAAAAAGAAGAGCTTACAATTGAACACAATCAGCTTGTTGCCGAATAGAACAAACTTGTCGAGCGCCTCTCGGTTTTGAAAGCAAAAGTTGCTCAAATGGGCAAACTCGAAGCCCGACTGGAGCAATCTGAGCAAGAACGGATGGCCTACAACCAAGAAGCCGCTCAACTACATGAAGAGCTTAAAGATTTGAAGGTCATGTGGGATGAGCTGCAGGATGTCGTAACTGTTACGATCGAATGTGAGTCTGCATCTATGGAATGAATCAACAACCTGGAATGTAAACTTATGTTCAAAAATCGAGAAGATTGATGCTGCCAAAGAGAAGAGAGTCAAAATGGAGGAAATGTTCAAAAAGGTGATAGAGAAGAACCGCAAGCACGGAAAGATAAATACGGATATTCAACCGAACCTATGGCATTGTGAAGACTGAAAATGATCAGTTGAAATCCAAATTAAGTGGCTCCAGGCTCGACTCCAAGATCATGAAGACTCCTTACTCCTCGAGAAAACATATGCAATTTACCAGATGTGGAGGAAGACTTTGGAAGAAGCCAAATAGGGGATTCTTTTTACATCTGATAACTTTAATCCCGAGCATTTATACTTTCGGTATCTACCCTTTGACTATGAGGGTTATATAAGAGAGTGACCTTATGTTTATGGTGCTATTGAAGAGGATGTCTCATGTTCATTCTGACACGAGTATTTGAAGTTTATTAACTTTCAATTGAAAAAGAAATTAACTTATCATTTGGACAAGAAATAAGATAAAAACAAAAGGGCTTTGATTTATTCCTTCAATTCTCAAAAGCACATTTACATTAACATTTATTTACTTAAGTAAATAAAGTTGCCAATACATGTGGCTAACTTTGTACAACTTATTGCTACGGGGTTGATCATGCAAGTCCTGACAAAATATAGCTCCCGATTCTAATAGTCCCCGGTCTTCGTGACACTTTTAGTATTCTAATATACTATGGTTCCCCCCTTGTTCGAATGCTGAGCATAAGAATTCGAAAGCTGGAGTTCTTGACATCGTTGATGATCCTTCCTCGTAGTATGCTTTACGTTGCTGCCTCATTAAAAACTTTGCCAGAAAAACCCAATTAGAACAAAAACTGGATGAAGGGAAAAAAATGAAGCACATACTTTCAGTATCAGTAAGGATCTTTAACAATAATACCTTTTGAGGTGAATCACATTTTGATTACTTGGCAATTTAACTCCATCTTGATTTCAACTGAAATGAACCTTTCATAGTTATAGCTAAAACCCGGTAAGGTCCTTCCCATGTTGGTCCTAGCTTCCCGACATTAACCTCTCGAGTACTTTGAATTACTTTTATCAAAACCAAATCTATGACTTTGAAATATCAAAGATTTGCATTGCGGTTGTTATATCTTTCCATTCTTTACTTTTGTGCCACCATCCTCACATACACTAAATTTCAATGTTCTTCGAGCAGATCCAACTTAATCAACATTGCTTCATTATTCTCCTCCTCGTTTGCTCGGGAATACCTTATGGTTGGTTTCCCAATCTCCACCCAGATCAAAGCTTTTGTACCGTACACAAGTAAAAATGGTGTTTCTTCCGTGCTCGACTTTCCGTCATTTGGTATGCCCATAGTACTCCCGGTAGCTCTTCTGACCAGTTACCTTTTGCATTTTCTAATTTCTTTTTGAGGTTTTAATTATAACTTTATTGGTTGACTCCGCTTGTCCATTAGCGCTTGGATGATATGGAGAAGTTGTAATCCATTTGATCTTTAATTCTTCCAAAAACTTTGTAACTTTGGAACCTAATAATTGTGGCCCATTATCACAAGCAATT